TAGACCCTGAGCTAGCCAATCAAGGGATGACTTAACCTAGCCCAGCCAGCCAGGATCGGATCTAACCTACTAGCCAGCCAGGGATGGATCTAACCTAGCCTAAACAGACAGGCGATGTCGGAATCTAACCTAGTAGCAGCCAGGGATGGGATTCAAAGACTAGCGCTACAGCCAGGGATGGGATCTAACCTAGTATCAATCAGGCCGATGGGATCTAACCTAGCTAAGCAATCAGGGAGGGATCTAACTAGCTAGCAATCAGGATGGATCTAACCTAGCAGCAGCCCAGGGATGGGATCTAAAGCCTAGCTAACTAGCCAGGGATGGGATCTAACCTACTAGCAATCGAGGGATGGCGAATCTAACCATTACAGCAGCCAGGATGGATTCTAACTAGCTAGCCAGCCAGCGGATGGGATCATAAACCTAGCTAGCGCTAGGGATAGGATCTACTAGCTAGCCAGCCAAGGATCAGATCTAACCTAGCTATTCAATCAAGGATGGCGATCTAACCTAGCCCTAGCAGCCAGGGTATGGATACTAACCTTAGCTATGCAGCCAGCGTATGAGATCTAAACCTAGCCTATCAACTCAGGATGGGATCCTAACCTAAGCTAGCAGCCAGGAATAGGATTAACCTAGTAGCACCAGGGATGACGGATCCTAAGCCTAGCTAGCAATCAGGGCATGGGATGCTAACCTAGCTATCAATCAGGATCGGATCTAACCATAGCTAGCAGCCAGGGATTGGGATCTAGACCTAGCGAGCAATCAGGATAGGATCTACCGTAGCTAGCAGCCCAGGAGATGGATTCTAAACCTAGCTAGCCAGCCAGGAATGGCGATCTAACCTAGCTAGCACTCAGGATTGGATCTAACAACTAGCTAGCAGCCAGAGAATGGCCGATCTAACTAGCTAGCAGCCAGGGATGGGATCTAACCTAGCCTACAGCCAGGGGATGGGATCTTACCTAGCCTAGCAGCCAGGGATGGGATCTAACCTAGCTAGCCATCGGGATCGGTACTAACACTAGCTAGCAATCAGGATGGGACTACCTAGTAGCAGCCAGGATTGGATGCTACCTAGTAGCAGCCGAGGATGGCCGATCTAAGCTAGCTAGCAAGCAGGATGGAGATCTAACCTACTAGCAGCCAGCGGATAGGAATCTAAACCTATAGAGCCAGGATCGGGAAGCTTAACCTGACTAGCAGCCGAGGATGGCATCTAACCTAGGCTAGCCAGCCAGGGATGGCGCATCTAACCTAAACTAGCAGCAGGGATAGGGATCTAACCTAGCTAGCATCAGGGAGAACCTAACCTAGCTCGAACCAGGGATGGGAAATCTTAACCTGAGCTAGCAATCAGCGATGGGATCTAAAACCTCCTCCTCCCGATGGGATCTAACCTAGCCCTAGCAATCAGATGGATCTAACCTATGCTAGCAGGCAGGGATGGGATCTAACCTAAGCTAGCAGCCAGATGAGCATAACCTGAGCTAACAGCCAGGATGGATCTAACCTTAAGCTAGCCAGCCACAGTGAATGGGATCTAACCTAGTAGCAATCAGGGATGGTATCTACCTAGCTAGCCAATCAGGATGGACTACCTATGCTAGCAGCCAACGGGGAAGGGATCTAACCTAAGCTAGCCTCAGTGGATGAGGATCTAACCTAGCCTAGCAGCAGGGAGTGGGATCTAACCTAGCTGCATCAGGCGATGACCGACTTCTAACCCAGTAAGCAGCCAGAGATGAAGACTTTACTTACCCAGTCGTGACAACGATTGCTAGAAGCAAAAAATAGTCACAACATTAAGCTTCTTCTCGTTAGCCGAACAGTCTACAACACTGTCCGAAACCGTGATACTGATTTTCACTATCTTATGAGAAATCGCTAATCATATACTATGCTTTTGCTTCGGTCCTGTCTTGAAGACAGTTAAAGTTCAACAGTTAACCACTGAACGTGTCATAGACTAAGTTTCTATCGCGGCAGCGGGCCCCCAGCGATGCCACTGCACCTAGCGCGGATGGGACTACCCCTGTGCTCCAGCACTGCGAGCGTCACCGGATACAATCCGCGTCTGAATCACCATCGCAACGTCGATCAAATGTAGAGACTCTCTCACTAGAACACGAGCCTATACGCGCGGCGCTGCCAGACAAATCAACATCAGTCGTGTCGATGTGCGCCGCCGCCGTGCGACAACTCCCGACTGTACCCCTGTAATTCACCCCAGGAAAACCGCGTGTTGGAGCTTCCCGCTGGCTTTGAGTGCCAAATTTCGCGACGTATGCTATAGGGAAGCGATAGATATTTCGCTGAATACAACTCTCTCTCTCTCTCTCTCTCTTCTCTCTCGTCTCTCTCTTTCTTTCTTTCTTTCTCTCTTTCTCTGTCGATACCTTGGATAGTATTCAATGTAGCGCCATTTGTGAATAGTACATTTTCTAAATCGATATTTCTATATCAGGATCCTTTCACCACTAACTGAATGCGTCTAAAGAATTTTATATGTGGTTAAACAGAGAAACAGAAGTAATGAACTCACCCACGTTTCAATAATAATCGCTACAGAATAACACGTAACAAGACGGTTAATGGAAAATAAGTAAACAGTTTGCAAAGTAGGTATAGCAAGTAAATATAATCATATCACGATTGAATTTTTTTTACAAAATAATCTATTATGTGTGTTATGTTCTTGTAAACAAGAGGTCTTACGCGTACCATCCATGATCGGCCAACTAATGACGGGGCGTTTTTGACGACGCCGAACAACAAACCGAATCTTAAATAGGCAAGCGAAAACGCGATTTCGTTAACAACATCGATGGAAATACCGACGAGAATGTCTACCTAAATATCGTCTTGTTAACTAATTGGTAATACGTTTCATGGCGCTAAATGACTTGCTGGTAATCGTGCGTGCATATTGTGAAACGCGCGCCTTTTGCGTGTGTGTGTGTGTGTGTGTGTGTTGTGTGTGTGTGTGTGTGTGTGTGTGTGTGTGTGTGTGTGTGTGTGTGTGTGTGTGTGCATGTGTGCGTGCGCGCGCGGACGTGCACTCTGCATCGAGTCAATAAACTGGCCACGTGCCAGCGCAACGCGGTTGTTGTGGTAGTAAAACCAAGCTACGCAGCAAGGGATCCGCGCCGATGCAGCATGGGCTATCCGACATTAACAGTCAAATTCGAGCCTGCTATTAATCCGTCAGTTCGTTTCGCCTTGCACCACGTAATAAATATGCAAGTAAAAGTGATAAAAGTGATGGTTAATTCCATCGTAGCCATTTGAAGATTTAAATCGTGAGCGTACTGAATGTTTATGGTCATTTTTTACTGAATCAATCCATATTAAACAAGAGGGCGTTCGGAAAAACATAGGAAATATGAGGACACGTGACAGATAGCGGATTATTTGTTCCGAGAACAGAATCTTGAATTTGTGATGTCATGCTTAGATTTATGAGGATAAAACACTGCATGCATGAACTTATTAAGAGTAATATAAAGAAATTTGTAATTCGGTGAGTGTAAATCACCAACTCTCATTGCCTAAACTAGGTGTGAATAATAAACACAAGGCCTATATTTTACAAAAGAGGTTATAATCATCTATCATGGATCTATGGGATTGTCTATGTATGATTATTTTACCTTCTCTTTCTACCGGTAGGGAAAACATGCCTATCTACCCAACGCAAGTTTAACAACTCTTTGATGTGAGGGCTATGCGCTAGTGTGCAAGGATGAACATCAGAAAACCACAAATAGCTAAATCAGACGAATAAGTTGTAACCGCTTCTTCGAAGCAGGATAAAATGTTTAGTTACTGCTGGTCAACACTCACAAGAGAGAAGAAAAGAGAGAGAGAACTGGCTTTCCTGTGGACTCAATCACACACGTGCTGCCACCTATGTGTCATATGTTTTACTATTTGGCAACCTTCATGAAAGAATAAATAACGATGGTTGATTAATGTAAAACAGTGCAAAACACATAATGAATGCAGTAATAAATTTTTAATAAACTTATTCATTCACATACATTTAATACACATATATATATATATACTTACATACACAGTTTTTTTTCAGATTTAAACGATTCATTATTCATGATGTCAACTCGAGCCTTGACTTGACTAACCTTAAAGTACCGCCAATGTCTGCTGTGTTAAATAGATACAACTGTTGCTTAAATAACTCTGTACTCTGTCATATATTTCCCAATGTGCAATCAGATAAATAGCTCGACAAATCCGCCAGACTGCGATTTCAGTTACCTGGACCAGCTTTCCAGTGATAAAACTGCATAGAAAAGCAACCATTTGTTTGTACAATATTCCACCTATCCTTTTCCTTTAAACGGGACTGCAGCTATCACAATGATGGTAACCAAAAGCAGCACTATAACCACCCAGTAACCTGCAAGAAGAAATTGATATCTGTGTACTAATGAACAGTAGACATTTCTAATACGTATATGTAACATATACTTTGGAACCATGATACTAAGTATTAGCATCAACAGCAATCACACGAACAAAAATTACAGTGTGTTTAGGTTGATAGAAAGCACATTATTACTGAACTCCACTATGTCACATAAAGAGATATAGTCTTCTCGCTCTGCATTTAAATTATATAATCGACATCCAGATGACACCAATTGATGCAAGTATTTGGCACATAATGAGACCATCACCAATATAGCAAGTCAGCATGTTCCAAAGCCTACATGCCATAATGTGACATATATTCCTAAGAGCAGCATAGCTGAGGTGTGTTAGTGTTACTTACCACAAGTGTTTGACTTATTGTCGACAAGTTTCACATGGCGAGTTTCTCTGAGGAGTCGTTGGTCAGTTCTATCCACGTGATCATGGATATCGTCCAATAGTTCTGCATCATTGTTTTCATGGGAAAAAAATCAGAATAAGTTCACAGATCTTGGGTTTTTAAACAAACTACATTGTACAGTACTAGTTCTTGGTATATATGAACCACGAGCCCTATGTATGCTGTCACGTAGTCATTTATATCCTGGCGCCATCTACTGTGAAAATAATTTATAAGCACATATTGTGTGTCTACAACACCAGTGCAGTGTGTCACAGTTAAAGGAATAATAGGTCCATTGATTATGCAATGTTGACGAATGCTAGAGTAACTGGCACCTTGTGTAGTTAAAAAGTGCATTACCTTATAGCCAAACGCGTATTAGTTTGTCCAATATCACTGCTGGTTACTAAGAAATGTCTAATTGAAATCAGCAGTCCAAAAATCAGTTGTTTACAGTTTCAAACCGCTGCCGGCGAAGCGGGTGTGTTACAGATTTATAGTGCACCGGACATTTTCGCACGCATGCTCGGCCGTACGCAATGCTATCATCAGTGATTTCGTAAACATGGACGCTCGTGATAAGGAACTTTTTGTCAGGGCTGTCCACGTGCGTCCGTGATTAGTACGTGTGTTTTACTCCATTTCCATGTTTGGTTCGTGGCATTGGTTACACCGCAGACACCTCCGTTTCATCTGGCGTCCAAACATACGGGCCGCACAAATGTTTACGTCATCGCTTGATTCCTGGATGACATTTACGTCACGTAAATGATACGTTGACACATATCAACAACCGATTTCAAGTCTTGTTTGTAATGTAACCAACAGTGATAGTGCACAAACTAATACGCGTTTGGCTATAAGGTAATGTACTTATTAACTACACAAGGTGCCAGTTACTCTAGCATTCGTCAACACTGCATAATCAATGGACCTATTATTCCTTTAATATACGTGTAAACGTGTTCAGAAAAATCAGTAACAACTACTGTCACTTCATCATTTGGGTAAAATTACAACTACAAAGAGCAGCTAGCTAAGGTAGTAAATATAAATATTACCATTTTGATAATCCACTTCATGACCTATGGTATGTGCCATGTTTTTCTGCCTGGATATGACCTTGGCTAGTGCTTCCAGACCTTGATCTTGCTCTATGACAGATTAAAGCTTTCTATGGCGAACCATAAACAACTGCACTATTAAACATACACACATGCAAATGCAGCCATGCCCACGCACCTATTCATGACTTCACGTATAGTGTTAAATTGAAGATATAAGACAATATTATATTACAGCGTGCTTATTTTCTTTTACGACAATCATGCAAACCATTTCAGCACTGAAAATACCTCGGATGGCCTGCTGCTGCTGCTGCAAAATATCGCTGACTGGCACATCTGTAGAGAAATCTGGATCAGCCATCGGCATCATGTAATTGCTTGAAGCAGGTGCTGGGCTGAATAACGACGTCCTTAACAGCAGAAGTGTACGCTACAGTTTTGTACCGCTTGCATAAAACGAATGTACACTCTTAGGTACATGAGTGACCGACCTACAAATTTCGTGTTCTGTGAATAACAGACTGTAACTTTAAAACACTGAAAAGAAGGAGAAACGGAAAATTTGAATTTTTACAATGGTCAAATTATATATTACTTCAAGGCATAAGACGACCATTGATTATGCAATTTTAACGAATGCTACAGTAACTGGCACCTTGTGTAGTTAATAAGTACATTACCTTATAGCCAAACTTGTATTAGTTTGTCCAGCAGCTGTCCAATATCACTGCTAATTACTAAGAAATGTCTAATTGAAATCCGTAAATTC